TTCAAACAGCATTGCAGTCTGGCACATTAACCTACAGCACCGCACCAGGACTCCAAATTTCCTTTCTTGAGTCATTTTCTGAAGAAGTTTTTACAACCTCTTTAATTTTGGATGCCTGTGGATGATAAAGAGTGAAGTGGCTAGAATATTGTGACTTCAGTTCAATGGTAGGTGACCATTGTAACAAAAGACACACAGTTATCATACTGCCAATCATTGGGAAAGCCTAAATTTTGGCACAGATTCAATTTAAGATCACACTGGTGTGCTTACAGTCAGCTAATTAGACTGGGACAATAACATCAGAAACTGAAAAAGTGTCTATAGATAAGAGGCACCATTAATAGCCCCTGATATGCTCACCTTCAAGAACAGGCCTGGCCAGTGCCCTGTGCTTGACTTCAGTAGATCTTCTTAGAGAATCAGCCCTTACTATGGACATCTACATAAGTGGCCTAGACTGCCTGATCTTTAGCCTTAATTTGTTTTCACAGTTCATAAACCTCAAAGATGAATGCCTTTAATATTCCAACCTATAGTCTTCTAAGTAACAGACCAAGTGCTTAGGCCATTTGAACAGTCCAAGGGTCAATAAAAAGATAATAAGTTTCATCAAGGTCAGAGCTATGAGAATGAATAGTTTGGATTTCTACCCATTAAATAGAATAATCTTGAACCTTTTTGTTCTTTTTCATTTTCTAACCTTGACCTTCTTTGGCTCTGCATATCTGATGCTGAGACCAAATAGTGCAATAGACTAGTCATGATGAGATTTCAGTGTAGCTGAGATACCAGTCAACTAGGCACTGAAATATAGAGGAAGCTTTGTGAAACAAGGCACCATTGAGCTAATGGCTATACAGTAAGCAATGGAGTGGGGAATAATGCTTTCTACCAATGGGGTAACCACTTCTCCTTCCTTGAATACTGAGATGGCACTAAAACCAAGTGCCTCCACCGTTCCCGCCACTTTCCCAAATGGAGATATCATACAGAGTCACAGTAGTGTATGGTAGACCTTCAGTTTTAATAAGAACAGACCAGCAGAGTAGCTGTGTCAGTGAGATGATGTGTCTAAAACCTTAAGGAGTACCTCTGGATAGTGGTTACATCTCATTGTCAGAGTTTCGAGTAGCAAAATCAATAACCATAGATGATTAGGACTGTAGGTCCCAGAGGTAGTGAGCACACCATTGTGCTGAATGAGTTTCAGTGCAGCTCTAGGTTCAGGCCTCAAACAAATGATACTGATTTTTGCCTTATCTGATATAGAGAGCCAAGCAGGATATGCAAGTCATGCACATTTTAATACTCAGAATTCAGTAAGGTATTAGATCCAAGCCGACATTTCACAAAAGAATAATACACAAAAGGCTGAAAAATACATGAGAAGATGCAAAACAATGTGCTTAACACTCAATAAAATGACTCTGATAAGAAGTACATATAATAACAAGTATTGACAAGGATATGGAAAATGTTGGTTGGAATGTACCATGATAAATCTCTGGAAAGCAATTTGACAGTTTCAGCAATTCTACTTATAGGATTCTACCTGAGAGAAATGAAAACATATGCTTACATGTGAGTGAATGTTCACAGTCATTATAATAACCCCAAGCAGGAAACAATACCTTCAACTAGTAAATAAATAAGCTAAATGTGGTATATTCATATAGTATAATACTGTTTTGTAATAAAAAGGAATTAACAAGTGATAATGCTATGAGTCGGAACCGACTCCACGGCACATAACAACAACAACAACAATGCTACAACATTGATGAACTTAAAAAATAGTCTTAGTGTGAGAAGCCTGTTGCAAAAGGCTACATGATGTATTTTTCCATTTATCTGAATGTCTAGAAAGGCAGATTTCTAGAGCGGACTCATAATTGCCTACAACTGAAGATGGGATAAGAAAAACAAACAAAAAACACCGAATTGTGCCAGTTCCAATTTATAGTGACTCTATATGACAAGGAGCTCTGGTAATGTAGTGGTTATGAGTTGGACTGCTAACTTCAAGGCCAGCATTTCAAAACTACCAGCATTTCTGCAGTAGAAAGATGAGGCTTTCTGCTCCCGTAAAGATTTGCAGCCTTGTGGAAGCCCTGTGCAGGGTCGCTATGAGTCGGAACCAACTCCACGGCACATAACAACAACAACTATAAGGCAAAGTAGGAATGCTCCTCCGAGACTATAAATCTTTATGGGAGCAGACAACCTTAGCTTTTTTCCTCGGAGTGGCTACTGGATTTCAACTGCCTAAATTGCAGTTAGCAGATTAATGCTTAACCTTGGATTCAGGGTTAATGTTTAATCCAGGAATAGGGATTCAAAGACGGCCACAAGGCAAGATTTTAAGGGTGATGAAAATATTCTCAAACTGGATTGTGGTAACTGAGGAACTTATATTAATTACTTTAAATGTCTTTGAATTATACTCTTTAAATGGGTGAATTTTATAGTGTGAAATTTATACTCTATAAAGTTTTAAACACTGAATAAGGAAGACCATAGACGAATTCATGCTTTTGAGTTATGGTGTTGGAGGAGAATACTAACAGTGCCATGGGCTGCCAAAAGAACAAACAGATCTGTGTTGGAAGAAGTGCAGCCAGAGTTCTCCTTAGAGGCCAGGATGGCCAAACTTCGTCTCTCATACTTCAGACATATTGTCAGGAGGGACCAGTCGCTGGAGAAGGATATCATGTTTGGTAAGGAGCTCTGGTAGCATAGTGGTTATGAAGTCGGGCTGCTAACCTCAAGGTCAGCAGTTCGAAACTACCAGCAGTTCCATGGGAGAAAGATGAGACATTCTGCTCTCGTAAAGATTTACATCCTCGGAAACCCTGTGAAGGGTCACTCACTATGAGTTGGAATCGACTCCATGGTACTTAACAACAACAACAACAACAAGGTGGAGGGTCAGAGAAAAAGAGGAAGACCTCCAGTAAGATTGATTGGAAGACCCCCTCCAGTGAGATGGATGAAACCTCATCATAACAGGCCTGGTACTGTGGCACTTCTTAAAATTAGACTTTATCAGAAGTCTACCAGACTTCTGATTCCTAAACTCCCCTTCCATTGTCTGATGCCAGAAATAGCTCAGGACTTCAAAACAAATCTGCACTTCCAAAGTGCAGCTATTGGTGCTGTGCAGGAGGCAAGTGAGGTCTGTCTGGTTGGCTTTTTTTTTTTTTTTTTT